TAAGTTTAAACTATTTTATAATCCTTAGTTTATAGAGATAATTACTACTTTATTTATATTATAAAGTATTATTATTATAATCTTTATAAAGCTAGAATTTACTAAGACNAATAAGTTATTTATATTAAGCTATAATCTAGCTTATATAAACGTTTANTANATTATCTAATAGTACTATACTAACTATAGTAACTATTTAATAAGATAATATATAAATTTTAACTATTAAAACTTTTATAAAGTTTATACTAATTATATTAATACTTTATATAACTATAATATACTCTTTAATATTTAGCTAGATAGTTTTAGACTATCTATATCTCTATAAAGTTATAATAATAGCTCTAAAGATAATTTACTTTATTATAAAGTATATCTTTTAAACTTATATATATTATTATTTTAGATTTATTAGTTAGCTTTTATATTAGCTACTTGACTAAGTTAGTTTTTAATAGTCTTAAAGTTTTTATAAAGAGCTCTTTTATAGTTATATTTATTATTAAACTTTACTTTAAGCTTAGAATAGTACTTTATAAATATATTTAGCTAGTTTTAGCTAACTTAGTCTAGATTATAACTTGACTTTTTTTTTCTCTATTTGCTACATAGCGTATCAGATTAATTATCTTAGAAAAGAATAGTAGGCTATACCCTAACCTACTAAAATCGGGTATTAAAAAAATAACTATAGTTAAAGTAAAAAATTAAGTAAGAGTCTGCGAGACTCTGCTTTGAACTCTTAGGAATAGTTTAGTAATAATTATAAACCTCTTAATAGGTATATAATAATAAGGTATAACTCTATTAGGTATAATAACTATATATAACACGGTTGCGACGAAGATAGCAGAATAGCGAACTATAGTTGCGATAAGACAATAATATAACGAACTATAGTTATAATAAGAATATGTAGTGTAGCGAAGCTCTCTAATGCCTATAAATTCGCCATGTCTTTAGTCTGTCTATCTTATCCTATCTTATCTCATCCTAACCACGGATTAATTCCGACACTATCTCAAATCTATCTATTCGAAAATGCAATTCTTCTCCTAGCTGCGATTCTAGTAGTTATCTTATGCTAAGCTAAGCCTATTAGAAAAGCTATCTATCTCTATAGAGCTCTCTTCTACTATAATAATTACTTTTTACTCTCCTCCGCCTAAGTATATACTAAGAGATCTAAAATAACACGTATCTATCTAGTTAAAGTTTAATAGATCTATACTAAAATAGTAGTATAGACCCCTCTCTAATATTAGTATTAGTAGATTAGAAGATAGTTATACTACTTTAATTAACTACATAGACGCGCTCGTGGTATATAAAGTAAGTATAGAGTTAATATATTATATTAAGAGACTAAGTAAAGAGACTTATAAGTAGCTAGAGACTAATATAATATATATTAAAAGCGCTATTACTACACTAAATTCTATAAGGGAGTAGAGGAGGTTTAAGAAATAGTTTTAGAGTAAGGAGAGCTTAGTATAGATAGAGGCGACGCTCTACTTTATTTAGAGGTATCTAAGAGTAGTTAGGAGGGATAAGTTAGAGGAAGTCGTATAATATATTATAGGGGGTAGATTAGACTACTGTGTCGCTCGTGTCGACGCTGCGTAATAGTATTGATAGGTTGCGGGCGTGACGGTATTAATTAGTAGAGCGGAGGATAGGTGCGCGGTAGTTGCTACTTACTAGTTGTAATTAATCTTAGAATTCTTTTCTCTCAGAAACTCCACTTAGAAAGGCTAGAGCTAATAGTCTAGATTATACTTAGTATATAAAGACTTAGCTATATTAACTATATTTATAAGCTTAGAGAGAAATCTATATAGATTAAGATTAAGTTTATACTAAAAAACTATATTTTTTTTCTTATACTTAACTAGATTTATTATCTTAAGCTTATAATCTACTTATAAAGTCTATTTAGTATATTAATTACTTAGTATTTTATAAGATATATTCAAGATAGGTAAAGTATATTATTTTAAGAGCTTTATATTTTATTTAAGAGCTTAAAGAGTAAGTTATATTTAATATTTATAAGAGAGCTCTAACTACTAGTATTATTATAATATTTATAGGTAATATATAGTATAGTAGAGTCTTAGTAAAATTAGCTAGCGAACCTATATAGCTAGCGAACCTATTAGGTACGTTATATTATTTTAAGTATATAGAAGAAGTAAATATAACTAGCTATTATTATATTAAGCTTACTTAATACTACTATAATATATATACTTAGGGTTTTATATAGCTAAAGACACCTGTTAGTAAGTAAGAGTAAGAGAATAAGTGTGTAGTATAATGGGTAGTTTATGATGAATAGTGTGGATAAGTGGGTATCTGATGAGTTTTAGGTCCTATTTGCAACTGTCTTGGCATCTTTCAAAATTGGCAGCGATGCCGCCCTCTGGCCTGGTTTAGGTACAATATGGACTTCAGGACTGCAATACGATTTCTTGCTGATGGAGTACAAACGATCCTCAGTCTTAATCACTAACTCGTCAGCATGAGCTTCGAAATCAGTCAGGTAGTCTGATAACCGCTGTTCGGCCTTCGCCACCATTTCATCGAGGTTTTCATTACAATTAACCATATGATCCTCCGTGGTGGCTGCCAAGTCACCCTTCAGCTCAGTACTATACTCCTCTAACTCAATGCTTGCAGAAGTGTAAAGTTCAGAGGATTGATCGCGGGCTTCGTCAAGCGCTTCACGCACGGCTGTAGTGACGGCTCCTTTGATCATTTTGCCAAGTGTGAAATGGCTGTTCGGTGTTGACACGTGGTGTGTGGGCTCGTTTAAAATTTGGGTACAAGGTGGTATTGGTGACGAACATCTTGACGGTGAGTCAGCAATCGTCTTCTGAATAATCTTCTCCAACACGTGTGGGAGCTCCCGCCGAATAGCAGATGGAAGCTCTTTTTGAAGCACCTCTGAAAGCGTTTTATTCAACGTAGATGAGAGCATTTGCTGGACAGCGGAAGTGACAGCGTCTTGAAAAAGGTCCACTGAGACAGTGGCACTGGACGAAACCGTGGATTTGGCGCGAAGAGAAGGGGTAGGAGAAGCACCATCCATGTCCAAAGACGAGCGAGAGTGTTCTCGGGCGCGCTTCGGATTATAATCATCTGGTGTTAAGCTAGTGCTAGCTAGGTAATACGCATTAGCGATATGTCATTCCAGTATACGACTAAGACACTTACAGTGTCTTGGTCGTTTACCCGACGGCTGTGTGTATGGAGGCGGGTTGTCATGTACCACGTCCTGGAAGGGAGGTGCTTCAGCCTCGATGGAAGGTATAACCCCAGACGCCGGGTTTTCGGTGGCAGTGTCAGTGCCATGATTGGCATCCTGGATAAACCTGAGGGGTAACCAGTCAAGTTCCTGATACAAAGAGCTAAACTGTGCGGTACGCGAAATCTTGGCCAACTGCCGAGAGCCTGTGACAATGCACTGTAGGGTTTGAAAGTTTCTATCCGCAAGCCAATTGGTGTCGAAAAAAATTCGTACTTCTTTCGTTCGTGCCAGAGTTAAAAGTTTTGGGAAATCATCATGAAGACTGGTAGATTCTTTAGGGTACCATATGGAACACGGTTTTTTCAGCGTCAGCGATAACGTTTGAAAATTAGGGTTTCCATGCCGTTGCATCGTGGACATTAAACTAGCCGGGACAGACAGTCCAATAGCTCCAAGCGAGTTCTTCCCAGGCACAAGATTGTCACCTTCATAGCGAAGGATAAACACTTGCTTGTGGTCAACGCCATGACTTGGCATTGAATGCTCGAGTGACACAGCCAACTCTTCGCCCACATGCACAATCTTCAGTGAACAAAACCATGTCATAGATTTATGGCATCCCCGATACGCCAAGGCTGGGACGCCTTCCTTACGAACGAGGCTATGCACCATCGCGCGTTAGTTATCCCAAAAGAACAAATTTACTTAACTAAATGTGCCCTTTTGCAGCGAAGCAGATTATATGCAACAGCAAATAAAGCCCACCCGCCCGGGCTTTCGCATTAATAGCAAAGAGCAGCCCTGACTCTATTGTATTATTCGCAGTCGCCAAACCGCAGACACCTAAAGCCCTTCTTGTTCGCACAGCCTGTGCCTTGCTTGAGTATCGCCCCCTAAAACGCGCGAATCAGGAACGCAGAGATTGCGATGCTAATTCGCGGCGTAATAAGGTCTTGCGGTGAAGATAGCGTACTGGGGCAAGACGACATGCAGACGAAAAGGATGGTTTAGTGCCTGACGCTAGACAACTTGCTATCGCGTAGGAGATGGAACTGGGGCGACGTGGAAGGCAGCGGGGATCGAATCTGGCGGATGGAGGTAGAGGACGAAGTCATGGAGACGTAGATGGGGGTGGAGACGCGACGAAGACAAAGGGAGCAGTTGAGGAGGTTGGGGGTTGGCGCTGGGTGGCGCTGGCGCCTCGGGAGCTTGGCGCTGCGCTAAGCCTCAATATGGACCGTCACGTGACCGTTCGATTCATCACGTCTAGAGGCATGGAGACGAAACAGCCGCAGCTCGCTTAAGCATCGTCCCAACCGCCATTAGACCTGGTTTGCTGACAGAGTATGTAAAACGTATTAGGAAACGTTGTCACCCTAGTGAAGGTTGAAGAAGTACGCACTGCAAGTAATATCCTCACCTAATAAGCGGAGAGTGTGATAAGAGTGAAAGGTGATCATTAGTATTATACTGTTACCACAAAGTAAGACACTAGAGGTACCAGAGTAGATCAATTGCGACGACGTCGCTCAAAGCGACCTAGTTCCAAGTCCTCTCCTACCCTCGTTACCCTCTTTACCCTCTCCTCCGCCTTTCTGTCCCTACCATACCACTGCTTTCCCAAGTTTGACGCACAACATTCACAACGCGCAATAGACCTTCGTATTAGCCTAAGTACCCGCATATCTCTCTCGTACTCTTTCCTTCTTCTTCTTTTTCTCCTTCTTCGACTTCTTGTTTGGGCGAGAGGGTGGAATTTCTGATGGTTGTGGTGGCGTTAGTGATAACGGACGAGGGAGCACCGAGGATAATTGTCGTGATGGCAGTGGCGCGTTGTCTTGAGGCTGATGGCTAGAGCCTCGTACAAAGGATGGCGAGGATGGTAGGATCGGAGACGCATTTAGCGGGGGAGGGGGGCTCGAAATGCGCAAAGGTGATGAAGCCCTCTGGGCTTGTTTAGGCGTAGGCACATTGTACAACGTGTGCGTAGGCCCTAGTTTCTTAAATGGTGTGAATCATATCTCCCCCCTAGCCTTATCTGTCGAGGAGAGTGTAGGTCGCATGTAGTGTGGTTGAGTGTCTTGTTCCGACATCTTGGCTTGAGATGGCTGCAGCTGTAGCTATGTTCTAAGCTATTTCTTTGAACTGGAAGCTATCATTGTAAGTATGTTCATGATAGAAATATATAGAAAGGCATAGGTACATCGCTAGTAGGTACTACCTGCGAGTTTCGTTCTAGCAGTTACTCGTTCTTTTGTTAGTACTAGATAGTACCTTGTCTTTGCCAATTCTTAGATTTCACATCATAAATCTACTCAGCAGTTGCCGCACGCACAAGACTGAAGTTATAAGGTATTAGAGACCTGATAAACGGTAGCAAGATAAACAAGAGGGAGGTTCTGATATGAATACATTGTCTCGTGTTTCCTAGGTCTGCACAGCGCTCTGTAATCTGAAGATCCAACTGCATACCGCAGTAAGTACAGAGCAACAAAAAGAGCAGTGAAGATCAATTGATATCTAGTCATCATTAACTCTGTTACAACAGCATTGGCTAAAATATGTTGTACTCCATGTCTTTGATTGTCATCATCAAACTCGTATGACAAAACACATAGATCTTTGAATGGATATATTTTCTAGGCCTACCAGAACTAGGAGAACCAGCGCATGACATTAGAAATCCTTTGTCAACTCGCTTAAGATCTCCCCAACACATCGATTTGCACTACTCGCCCGACAGGTGTCTACTAAACCCAAGTCCTCAAGGTGTCACAATGCGCGATCAGACACTCCTGATGCAACGCCGCCTTTTCCCGCGCACCACATTGCTTTAGGAGCGAGGTTTGCCTGGAGGTAAAGCAGGGAGCCAAGCTCGAGACGAGGTGCGATGAAAATGTAGGAACTACCAGGTCGAGCATAAGCCAAGTGCGAAGGATTACACGAAGCAGGAAGGCGATGAACATAGGGGAGCACTTACCTTTCTCGCTTTCTTGACATCCTAATCATGTCGATGAACTTCTCTTTGGTAACTTTTAAGCCTGGATACTGTGTATGGAACCTTGTTCACAGTAGCTCATAGTTCTTCTTCGACATGCGAGGAAGCTTCTCTTGCTCAAATATACCGTGCCTTGCATTTCTGCCGTCGCGCAGGGAGGTGTCTACTGCATCATTTATGTCCAGTAGGATCTGGTAGTCTTGATTCCACTTTTTCGGATTGTAGTGATACGATGTGATGCAGAAAAGGACGTTGAGCAGCATCTTCTGCATATTGGACTGGGGTTATGTTGCCATGAACAAAATGTGCGAAATGACAAGGTCGACAGAGTTGATGAATGGGCAGTGTGTAGAGGCCCAATTGTCATCTGCATTGCGTTACAGCATGGCTGCAATCCCAGGTGGTACGTAACCCAATATCTTCTGCTGCCGTGTCGCTAAACCGTCCATCGTTGTTCGGACTTGGAAGGACATTTGCAGTTTGACTGCGCCTTCTTTTTGTCCTAGTCTGGGTACACTTTGGACGGGGGCAGGAGCGGCGGCACACTATGCATCTCCAAGCTTACAAGGTGGTGAGAAATGGGATGGGCACGGTAGGGTCGTTGCAAACAGGGTCCGGGGTCCAAATATATTCGAGCGGTGGCTCGTCAAACCTGGGAGATGCCTGGCCGTGATCAAGGCTGAGGTTATCAGCCGAAGTACTAACGCCCGTGTCCGCTGACACAAGTCGTAGGGTGCATCTGCTATAGTAGGCAACATGGGTGGCGACAATTGAGCACTCTCTTCGGCCGTACCAAGCGCATTCACGTCTGGCTTCTTCCCCTCGGCCTTGGTGCTTATTTCCTTCATCCTCGCCTCGAGCAGGTCTTGCGAGGCATCCTGGATAAGTGCTGACATCTCAATATTATCAATGTCCAGTATGTCATAACTGCGCATGCTATCCACGGTCGACAATGCCGTTTCGTGACTATCGAGCAGGTATGAGTCCAGATTCGACCTGGCAGCAATATCATTATGCGAGGGAGACGGTGACCTTTTTTCAAAACCGACGCATCTCTAAGTTGTCCGGTAGACGCTTTAGTAGCATAGGGAGAGTCAAGGTAGATTGCCGACCGGTGTTTTCCTCAACGACGGCCGGCCGCGAGTACGCTTTCTTGTTTGTCCAGGCGTAGAGATTTCCAGGGCGATAACGCTAGCGTCACTGCCAATCGAAGTGTTCTCGAACAGATGTCGGCTGTACGATGGTCTTCTAATGGGGCGAGCAAGGAGTGTTGCCCCCAAGTCCAGTGAACTATCACTCTTTGCTGGGGTGTTCTTAGATGACTGCCGGCTGCGCGTTGGTTTGGCCATTGGGTATGACTGAAATAACTATGTATTAGATGAGTTGATGTAACATAGGGTTGGATGGATTCCAAGCGTCAAAGGAAATCAATACAAGCGAATGAGTTTTGTCTACCTTGTTTGAAGTTATTCATTGCAAAATTGTTTTGGTTAGCTCGCCCTTGCAACGCCATCTTACTATATCATAACAAAGTAGGACAGTGGTAAGCCGTGAGCAACGTACGGGATGACTGAGGTATCATTTTCTAGCCCGAACCTCTTGCTCTCCTTGCTTCGCACCTACGGCTTTAGTACCTTCATCAGCATGGATTTGATCCATGTCCGTTACCTGGGTATTGCGCCTTGCTCTCTCAGCTTCCTTCATTCAATGGTAGAATCAAGTTGAGAAACGAACCATCCAGTAGTCGGTAATTTAATCTTTCTCTCTTCATAATCTTGTCCATTATAAATCTCTCATCGCTGCACTCCAACATTCATGATGCGGCACATAGTTGACTAATGTAGGATATCGTATTCAAATCATGTACATGTAACGCTAAAAGAATAGGATCAGAGCACCATCACATGATGATGCTCTCACCAACAGCCATTCTTAGTGACCGCCGCTCGAGTTGGAGTTATCCGCGCACGACCAAGGCTTGGTACCGCCGTTCTTGTTGTACGAGTCGATGATGCCGACAAGCGAACCATAGGTGCCACCAATAAGGAGAAATGTGCCAGAAACAATGACGAAGATGGACCATGCGACCATACCCTTCCACTTCCAGTCGCGGTTAGATCGATTCCAATTGTCGTACAGCCACATGCAGCCCATGGGCTGGAAGCTCATGAGGGTGCCAAGGAGTGCGCCGACGAGTGAGACAAGACCACCAAAGACTGGAATTGCGGATGCAATGATGTAGGCAGTCAGGGAGACGGCGGCGGTGTAGCTGAACCAGGTGATCCAGTGCTTAGCGGTGGGGCGGCTGAGGTGCTCTGTTCCACGCAAGGTGCGGATGAAGAAGTACTTGGCGACGAGCTATGTAGGGTCAGTACATGGTCCGCAAACAGCAAAGAGAAGCAAGATGACGGAACTTACGTGAGTAACAAGGACAACGGAGGCAAGCAGACCCGGAAGCGCGAGCCCGTAGCAGACCTTCTTCATCAAGACACCAGCGGATCCCAGCGCAGGCGACGCGACGTACGATCCGCAGTAGTAGTACACAACAACACCGATGGCGATGTAGATGGAGGTCATGACGAACTGACAAAGCGACAGGGCCTTGAAGTAGTCCTTGTGGTCCTTCATCTCGGACACGACGTTGAAGTAGGCGGGAATGCCACAGAAGGCGAAG